AGATTCATAATTCCGATTACACGAAGAAAATACCCCAACGTCCTCAAGTGTAGAGGGGTTCCGTCAAATCATTGAGAGTCAATCCCGACTTCGCAACATCTTCTTCGATCAAGAACATCAAGGGCATCTCGACCAGCGTGCCTTTGACCTGACTCAGCAGCTCCTTGACCTGTCGAACGCCTTCTGGACCAGGAGGGAAGTCGTCCCGCACAACATGTCCATATTCGTACAGCGCAGGCTTGGCTTTCTCGTCCTTGGCGTATGATTGCTTATCGGCGTTCTGGAAATAGTAGCTGTAGAACTCCCGGTATGTCGCCCAATTGCGCACGGTGTCGTCTGGAACAGCATGGAAGACCTTGCGGAAGACCTCGGTGTTTGTCCTTGCGCGAGTGTTCCAGAGGCTCTGAAGGGTATCCGCGAGAGGATCTGCCACGATTTGACTCTCTGGAGCGTCAAAGTCAAAGTCATTGGGAATGCCCACAGGCTCAGAGTTGGCGTCTGGGCGTTCGTAATCCTGGGGTGGCAGGAGTCCGAGGTGCTTGCGGAACAGTTGTCGACGCAGAGAGGCGGCAAAGCGACTGGCGGTCCATGGCTTGCCATTCATGCTGGACTGAACGGGAGTGTAGTCTTCGATGATAACTGCAATCTCCGAATCGTGGTCTCCGAGCTGAGAACGATCATTCAGATTGGCAGAGCCACAGATGACGATCCGATCATCGGCAATCATGACCTATTCATCATTAGTCAACCACTTCCTATCTTACACGGGTTATGTCGAACCTTAGAATGAACATAAAGTTCCTCAGTAACAAATGCATCTATCTCGGCCTCACTCGGACCTTCCCAAGGCACGTTGCGAATGTCCTCACCGTGAAGCATATAACACTCGCTGACAGTATCCCACCGGCTGGATGTTGACTTGGCGGTCGTCACTTGAGCAGCAGCCTGCTGATATTGTTGCTGGAATGGAACACTTGTGTCGAAAGCGCTCCGAGCTGGCCCAGGACCATAGCCTCCCTGACCGACCGCATTCAGATCATGTTGTCTGCGAGCGTCTTCATAGTTGACACCGCTTCGTTGCTCGGCTTCCATCATGCGACTGTTGACATTGATACGATCGTAATTGCGTAGATTATAGAACCGGATATACTCCATTGGGTTGAACCCTTCCTTGGCGATCAGCTCCATGATACTGTGGCCTCCGCGGTTGATGGAGTTGTACTGGAACTCCATAATGGCACGCGTTCCCAAAGATGCATCGTCTTCCAAATCACCGGCAAAGCAGGGGACGGTTGGAATAACAACAATGATCTTGTATTTCTGGCCCGCCCGAGCTGCGCGCAGAATGCGCTCCACAATAGCAGCACCAATCTTGTTCTTGACCGGCTTCTGAGCATCACCTGTTGCTGTGATGAAGAACTGATTTTCGATGTAGACAAAGTGCTCACTGTTGCGAATCACAGCCGCGTAAGCATCGGCGATCGAGTGTTCGGTCGGTGTTCCATTGCTCCATTTCGCGCAGCTGCGCACAATCTGGCAGGACATGTTGCCTCGTGGCTGAGAGTTGTGGCGCCCGAAGGAAGTCAAACGATCCTGGTATTGATGGACTTGTCCCGCCAATTGTCCGCGAAGGACATTGCCGTATCCTGTGAGCTCGTCCTTGAAACGGCGAGGAATGAAGCCGGATCCGCGCTCGGAGTCGCCTTGGCCACGGGCTTCCTCGTATGAGTCGTCAAAGCCCCTTGTCTGGGAGTGCGATCCCTCCTGAGTAGGAGGAGGTGGGAAATAAGGAGCTTGACCATACCCTTGGGTTTGAGGTTGAGTGGCTGGGGAATATTGACTGGGAGGCGGCCCCGGAGGGGGAGGAGGGAACGAATCCCCCGTATAAGTGGATTGTTGACCACCACTCTGCGATGGAGAGTAGCCCGCGTAGCTAGGCGGAGACTGATAGCCTGGTGCTCCTTGTCCGCCAATGTTCGGCTGTGAGGGATAAGCCGAAAGGCCAGGAGCCTGTTGTTGAGGCAGGGGTTGCTGATGTGGCGCCGACTGTTGGGCATTGTATTGTTGACCGGAGGGAGAGCCTGGCCGGCCATGCAAGACAAGCCTGGTATATCTTACGTCCTTGCGAACCTGGTACTTCGTGTCGTAGATGAAGTTCCAACGTTCTACGAAATGCCGACGCAAATCTTCCACGACCGGCCCGTGCAGACTCACTGAGATATCGGACCATCCCATACGAGAGGTACGTTTCCGATCCAGCTGGTTCTTCTCCCAGTGCACAACATCCTGGAAGTCAAGGACTCTGGAATTGTTATAGTCCTGACCGGGGAAGACAATGTCGTCAAGATTGGTGGGATGGACATCGGCAATAGCGTGTTGATGCGTATCCCATCGGCCAAAGCACATATCTAAGCCTCCCATGAAGGCGATTCTGCCATCAATCAAGCACAGTTTTTCATGGTGGGCCCAGTAGAGAATCACATCGTCATTCATGCCATACAGACCCTTCAGCGCATCGCCGGACATCTTTGCAAGCGAAACAGTGTCCAAGGTCAGGTTCTGGAGAGAGGAAGTAATCGAGGATGCCAGTCCTTGACGATCGGGAAGATGATCGGGATGGCGGAACACGGCGATATTGGGATGAAGGTCTTCGAGAGCGTGCTTGGTGTGTGAGGAGGACACTGCGTGAGCTACCATCAGCAAAATGCGCTCGGAACCGGAATTCCCTGTCGGTCTCGATCTGTGGCTTGGTACATACGAGTCAATGCCTGAGTAACCTCCTTGTATACAATGACGTTGACCCGCACTCCACGCTGCGCAGCGGCCTGCAGCATCCGATCCAGCCGATATTGTTCGTTTTTCGCAGGTGGACGTCTCAGGTACAATTCAGGAGACAGCCACCCTATCAAGGGAGGTTAGTCGCGAAACAGAGGGTCTGCTTCTCCAAAGGATGAGCGTCACTTACAGTCCAGAATCCAGATCGACTCCCTGGCACTCTCCAGAGCTTTTGAGACGGCATAGAAGTAAGAGCATCCGTCGACATACCACTTCGCATCGTTGGCCTGTCGCGGAGCAGCAAAGCTACCGAATCTGTGCCCCGACTGAGGCTTATTCGGACCATACTCTGCATATGCTTGTGGATCGAGAGCATTGCCGACTCGCTGGGCGACTTCCGAGCCAATTCCGGTGACGGTGCCTTGTAGCTTTCCTAAAAGCCCTGAAAGTTTGTCCTGTTTCGCGGGTTTCGCCTGGTACTCGGGATTTTGGTGCGGGTTCTGGTTCTGATTCTGGCTTCCGTATGGGTAGCTTTGCGAGGGTCCTTGATTTTGGTAACTCTGTCCCTGAACCGACGGCCACATAATATTAGTCACTGGAAGCACGAGGCACGCGTGCTTCAGACTTACCCCATAACCTCCTGGGACATAACTCTGAGACTGGCTCTGCCCTGTCTGCTGGGGCTGGGAGTGTTGTTGCTTATACGTGTCCTTCAGCTTTTTGAAGGTATCACCGACGAAGCTTCTCGTGCTCTCTCCTTGGCCATGTTCCCCTCGGTGATACTGGCCGTATGCCAAATCATCATCTCTCCCAGACATTGCCGCAGTCAATAGAAGGAGATCGGGTTATAGGGGTTGAGGCACAATATCGCCGGCAGCTTATTTCATATAAAATCAACAACGAACCTCGAGGGACGCGGAACAATTTATCCATATCATTGCGGGACAACCGACATAAGCCGGGGTCAGATCAGCCCAGTCCCTCATTGCACAGCCTCGTCATCAGCTCGTTAGTTTGTTGACACGGCACGCCAATACGCCACTACAGCCCCGCTATCCTGAGACAATCAGTGAAAGCACCGTAAACAACGTACAACCCACTTTCAGCTTGAAGAGAGAACAGAGATCTCCTCACCAACGAAGCCCTCATTAGTTTTGATTATGACACAAAGCATGAAATCATCAGTGTTTTCAATAACAGACACAGAAATTATAAAAAATGACATTTCCTGGACAGTCTTAGAAATTTTCGTTGTAGCACTTGGCGGGGGTTTAAATTGTTGCCTGCCGCCCCTACCCCTCGTCTTATCCCGCAACAACTTAACAAGCATTATTCGCACCATTGTGGCGCAGCACTGAAACACCAGAAATGCAATCACCATTAATTTGTGGCTGGAGTGCAGGACCTGTTGATGGAAGATACAGAGACCATAAGTTCAGGGCTTTTCAGTCTCTTTTTATCCTGGCAGGAATGTTTTCTTCACCAAAGAGGTTTCAGTTGAGAAGACGAACTGGACCATACCGTCCAGATGTGAGATGATGCTGGACGCTAGATTAAGACCGTCCGCTGCTTCTAGATTAGTATGTGAGACGAAATTGTCGAGGATAAGCATAATTGAAGGGATTGAAGTCATCAGCTTCATTGTGACCTCGTCGACCGATGATATATCACGATCAATTCTCTTAACTCCTCTGCAGCACGGGCGAGTTAAAGATATACAGAGTACATACAATCAATGATCGGATGATCTGATAAGCAATGAATTTGTCTGTGGAGACGCCGTCAGGAACAAACTTAGAGGTATAGAACCGTCGATCTTGAGGGTTCCAAGTGAGGTTTCTCCAAACACAACAAGGTACTGCAGCTGAACGAGACCTTGGGAACGGATGAACCCCGCAGGGATTTGCTGGAGACTGGTCAGGTATGGTAACTATATTACCTTATCTATGCAAACAGTCAGATAAGCCAGGAGGGGATATGGTAAAGGAATAGTAACAGTACACTATCAGTGACAACTGTCTTATCTTTCTCCCCGCACGATGTGAAGTCAGTTTTGGAGAACATGTCCCGCATCAGTTTATAAAAGGCTGACGTTGCTCCACTAATGGAAGAACAATCCTTACCTGTCTGCTTTAAACGATTGAAACTATTGATAAACATAGTCTCATATTCTCCCTTGCAGATATCTTCTGGGATCGACTCAACTGACCACATTAACCCTCATCATGTCGCTCGCAACACTTGACGTCAGACCACCCCTCCCTCCAGAACCACCGGATAACCCACTGATGAAATAACCCACAGGTCACGCAGCATCCCAACCTTCCAGCATCCGCCGAAACCCTCTTCAAAGCCAAGGCCCAGAAGAAGCTCAGCTTCGAGCAAATCGCCCAGCACATCGGCCGCAATGAAGTCGCCACAGCAGCCCTCTTCTACGGCCAGGCGAAGGCTTCCCCAGAAGACATCCAGAAACTGTCAGAGCTCCTCAATATCTCGCCCCAGGTTCTAGAAGAGCAGCTGAGCGGCTTCCCGGACCGTGGTCGCTCCGTTGAGATGCCGCCGAAGGAGCCCTTGATCTACCGATTGTATGAGATCGTGCAGAACTACGGGTATGCGTACAAGGCTGTTCTCAACGAGAAGTTTGGGGATGGGATCATGAGTGCTATTTCGTTTTCGACTAAGGTGGAGAAGGAGACTGATGCGGATGGGAATAACTGGGCTGTTATCACTCTCCGAGGCAAATGGTGAGTTTCGTATTCTGGGCTTGGATGAAGCTGACAATGGCAGGTTGCCTTTCTCTCGTTTCTGATTGAATATGCTATGATATATATGAGATGGAGATATGTCAAAGTCAAAACTAAGGCTTTTTAAATCTGAGACGTAGTATAATATATACTAGCGCATCTCTGGGGAAATATAAGGATGCAGGATCATTATGTATTGCGTGATTGTAGTAGCACTCAGAGTAGTATGCTTGTAGTCAGTATCAATTTCGAATCATACTCATTGTAACGTTCGTACTTTGGCCTGTCTCGTTAATGGAGGACACAAGGAGGAGTACCTGGCCAGTTAAGAGCCGTCATGTACCTGAGTGATTATTCACGTCAAGACCGGCTTTAAAGCGAAAGGATTATCAGAGAAAGGACCAGAAGTGATACAGCCAATAAGGCTAGTAGATTATCCTCAGAAATTCCTAGCAGGCTCCGGTAGACTCTGAAGATGGCCATGAAAAGAAGTGAATGACTTTAGAGCCTTGGTACGCGGCACGTCGAGCACTCTCAGTGAGGTTTCTTAAAAGAGATTTCACCTTCTCTCACTTATCTTTCAGGGCTAGAGGCAGGCTCTACCTTTACTTCTTCTTCTCCCCATCTTGCCAGTTCAAACTCACTCTTTCATCGGCAAGCACCCTTGGTTCTTCCAATTACTCTCCTCCACTCGCATCTTTTCTACGTATTCCCACTTTTCAAAAGACTATCGACAATGCCTAACCCAGCCACACCCAAAACGGTGCTCTGCACTTTTCCCGACTGCCCTCGCCGCTTCAACACTGTTGAGGAGATGAAAAAACATAAGAGTTCCGCTCCCGAACACGAGTACTGCACCCGCTGCGACAAAGACTTTGAGAACGAGGAACGACACCTCATGCACAAAATCAAAAGCAACAAGCACATCGTCTGTCCCATCTGTGGCGTCGATTTCCGAAGTGAAGGAGGCCGTGACGGGCACATTCGCCAGGTAAGCTGTCCTCGACCCCCCGACCTTTCTACCCGCAAATACTAACTGTGATGGATGCGTAGTACCACCGCGCCGAGCAAACCCTTACCTGCTATGGCTGCAAGGCTCTCTTCAAGAACGCCAGCGGCCTTATGCGCCACATCGAAGATGACGAGTGTCCCGAAATTACCAAGAGGCGTCTCCTCGAGGAAAGATCAAAGAAGATCATGATCAAGCAGGCTCTTGGAGGTGGCGTGGGCTCGCCACTGCCAATCATACCGCGCCCAGGCGATTTGGACGACGTCGACGGGGGCGTCAAGGTGAATACTCTCGAGTACGACAACCGCGAGGCGATGGCAAACCAGCCGGAGCCTGGCGACGATGGCTCAGCTAGATTGTCGCAAAAGCACTGGCCAGAGCTCAAGACGGCTGCCAAAGCGAGAGCAACGCATAACCCCACGCCTGCTGACCTGATGGCGTTATCTGAGCTTGCCATTACGGACCAAGCCGGGGACGGGGACTGGAAGGGCAAAGGGAGACTCATAACCATTGCGGAATCTGAGAGAGAAAAAGACGAGAACGAGCGTTCCTTTGACGCGGGAGCCCCGGATGCTGGCCAGATCCTGCGCTTTCTGCAGCACAACTGGGACCCGACCAACTTTTTCGACTCGTACAGCGGGGAATACGTCTGTCCTTGCAACGCACGCTTCAAGACCATGAAGGTGTTCGAGGAGCATATGTTGATGAAGAGTCAGGGCGCAAGAGGCATGGAGTATGTATTGGTGACCTGGCTCGGTTGGAACGAATGCTGACAACTACTACTAAACAACTAGGTGTCCCGGATGTCATCGTATCTTCAAGACCACCGCGGCTTTGGTTGCTCACTGCGAGTCAAGTACCAAAAGATGCCATATCAACGCTAACTCCCGGTTCAGTCAGATCATTGACGAGGTGAGCGCCGGAGTTATTCAGGCAGCGGGTTATATGCCAGATGGAACTGTGAAATATGAGGCTGGAAAACTGGAGTTGACCAAGACGACCACTATCGGCGTTGACCTTGAGAAAAACAAGTGGTAGTTGTACAGCCACGGAGTATTTTTCTCTTACTTCCCTCCAACCTTGGCAATGGTCGAGGAGGTAGGAGACGTGCAGCAAGTATTCCAATGGTTATACCATTGATTCATAGTCATTGCTGCATATCATTCAGGCGAACTGATCAAGACTGTGTTCTACAAGATCAGTTTGTTGAAATATTTAACGAAAAAAAAATGTTTCCCAAAGGAATGGACAATATTGCAAGAATTCATTCTCTATGACTAGCAATCAGCTAGCGATGGGTATAACGAGCATCGTAGGACAAAACAACATTGCCAAAAAAGTCTTCAAGGCAAACAACACCAGTAGGAACCGAGCGGCTACCTGAACCATGAATTCGTAGCTCATCGCCTCCATCCTTGTGAGCCCGAACCCCGAAACAGCGATAACAATGCTTAACAGCACTCCTCACAGCACTCGAAGCAGAGGATACCGGCGCAACTAATCCACATTAGCCAATTTTCAACGTCATGCTAGTACAACGGGTGCCATACACTCCACAGCAAACATCTCCAGCGCCACCACCGCGCAGCTGCATCTTCATGGCCTCCTGGTTATTCTGTAGACACATTCAGTATTCTATTCCTGTTCTACAGGGATGAATTGGTGGATGGAAACGAACCGGTTGCTCAGTCACGGTACGCTCTGTAGATGGGGCCTCGGGGCTAGCGGGCTGCTGCATGGTGAGGGTGTTAGGGTCCCAGGTGGGTTGTTGCTGGGTGGGAGCAGAGTCCTTGGAGGATTTGAAGAAGTCGAAGAGGCCCATTTTAGTTTATAAGTAATGTAATTGTAAGAGAGAGAGTAGAGTTAAGAAGAGTGTGATATGATGAGGATGAGATGAGGATGCGGAGAGATCGGCGAGAGTTGAATGGGAAAGAAGACAAGCACGGGGAGAAGGTGGGTTTATGTACTTGCGAGCCCTGGCTTCCCTGGTAGAAACGCTGGTAAAAGATAAGAGTACAATAGCACCGCCACTAAGTTTAATAGTCGGAATTAGAGTGCTCGAATTGGAAAGTCAACACTGAAACTGCGAGTACGGGAGGAAATCATATGGTTGGGGAGGAGTGGACCACTCATGGCACAGAAAGAATCCACGCTCTTTGGCGCTCAGCCCTGCCGACTTGCGTTGTCGGTGGAGTCTTCTTTGTCATTTTGATGATTCTTACCCTAAATTCATCCTTCATTCAGTGTCGCATCATTATTTAATAGACTTTGAAGTTGCATTTTCGAGAGCGTTATCCTGTCAGCCTGGAGACGCCAACAGAAGAAGCGCCCGACAGTCGAATTGACCTCATGGTTTTATTGGGGAACATCGACAAATCCCTCAGTGAGAATACAGTTAACGTGAGACAAGGTTGCCGAGCAGTCTCTCCGTGTCTCAGGTCCACAATCATTGTGGCTTGTTAGCACGATTAGGCAACCTCATTTTCCATGCGGTGAAAGCACGGATCAAAGTCCAATGTCCGGCCTTGTTTGTGGCTAAGCTTTGCTCAAGCTCCATTTGCCCAGCTCGGTGGGGGGGCTATTCTTAGGACACTGGTCGGTGCCGAAGGCCGAGATGATCTCAGTCTCATAGGGCTGGCTAGGCACATTATTACGTTGCGGTCCACGTTCCACAATGACCATCCGCATTACGCAGGATTTCAATCACCATGTATCAGCGTCATTTCATATTTCGTTATGCAATGGGGGGACTCAATGGCGATGTTGTGGAGATAGGAGCGTTCTTTTGAATAGACCACGGAATCACGTGATTAGCCCTGACGTTGATCATCGTTTTGAGTGATCTCTCATCACAATGGCAGTTCAGATCTTTTTTGTGTTAAGTCATCATTTCTCAAATACGCGTGCTTAAGGATATGATATCTGTTTCAACCGAGACGTCTGATGGCTATATAGCCTTATATCAATTCCCCATCCGGTGTGTTAAACTGATCGATCTAGTAGAACCTGACTGCCCAATGAACAATTTCGGATTTTCTATGCCCTAGAAGATACGAGGGTGATTTAAATGCGCCCATTTTCTAACCTCGAATGTGTTGCTCAGAAAGTACAGGTACTACCCTTGATGTACGGAGTACCTGAAGTGCTGTGCCTGAATGACCAGGCAGCGCGGAAAATGCCGGCCAGGACTGCATCTCTGGCTACTTCGGCCACCGTAAATTTTGCATCAACTACTGTCGACATCACAGTCTTCAGAAATCAAATAAACAGGCAACCCGTCTCGAAATTCTAATCAATGCAAATCATCCCTGAACAAGCTCACTTCCTCTGAATCCACTATCTCAATACGAGTATCTCAGATCGCACCACATCAAAATGACCGCAAACAACCCCGAACAAGATATGCACTCCATCCGAGAAGCAGACTACATCCGCTTCAAACACTACGCCGCCCTAACCTTCCTCGTCGCCTCGCCGGTGCTCATCGCCCTCCCCCCAAGAAAACTAGACCACCTCACCGTCCTCCTAACAGGCGCCTTCTGCGTCTCCGCAAACCACCTCACCCGCGAACACACAGGGCGCAGTATCGTCGAGCGCATCGAGGCGCGTATCGCCTCCACCCCGTCACTTGCCATATCCGATCTCCCCAGCCAGCGGGCGCAGGAAGTCCAGGCGAAACTGCGTGCGGCGCGGGATGCGCAGATCCGCCAAGGAGGACTGGTGGGCGAGGAGCTGGAGAAGTTGAAGGCGAGGCAGGCGCAGGAGAAGGGGGTTGCGGAGCGGATTTGGATGGGTGGGGAGACGGAGGGGTGGAAGGAGCGGCGGCTGAGGGAGGAGCAGAAGGCGTTGGAAGAGGGGAAGGGGTATGGGGATTTGATCAAGGAGCATATTTGGGATGTGTGGACGTGGGGACAGAAGGACGGGGCCAAGGAGGAGTCGAAAAAGGAATGATGTTATGCAGTGGTGGTTTTCATGGCTGAGTTGTATGATATAGCATGTACATATTGGTTTGGAAAGCTTTGGAGTTTGGCGTTGGTCAATGATAACTTCAAGCCA